ATTATATTTATAAAGAAAACTTTTAATTTAAACACACTAATTAAAATAAAACAAATGCAAAATAGAAAATTGAGGAGTTGTAGTGACAATTATGGAAGAATAATTGTAAGAGAAAATATGGTTGGGTGCAAAATGCAACATTGAACAAACCATAGAGACTGAAAGTGTAACGTTTGCATTAAACAATCTCAAACGTGATCTGGCCTATACAATTTGTGGCCTCTTGTTTTTTCCAAGTATACATACATTTGAGGCCCTTTTGGATCCATATATACTTACCGTATAAGATTATGGTTGTTTATTATAAACCGTCGCAAGAGTGAGAGGGTGATAGAGATTACTTGAAGTAATAGAGACCTGAAACGAAGTGAAGCTAAGGTGTGTCATCTATGGCTAAACAAAGAAGATAACATGAGATGTTAATTTTACTTTCCTTTCTGGTTAACTCCATTAAGGACGGTGAATGAGAGGTTGGGTTACCGGCCGCATGCGATCATGTCAAAAGAAAATAGGACTTCCAATAGGGAAAATATCATATTAGCCCAACGAACTTGTTACCTTTATTTTAAAAGGTCACTAAAGTTTTGTTTCACTCTCAAAGGGAATAAAGTCCAATTTCAAATGTTTAAAACATACTTTTTGAAAAAAGACCCGGTAAGCTGGTTGTTATAGGCCACATAGGTTAAAATTGTTATCATCTGCGACTTCTTCTTTGCCATGTAGCTTCTACAAAACTTGCTTCGCTTCCTGCATTCGACATTTTCTCATGAGTCACCGAGGAGATTCTGACCATATGAATCTTCTACTTATGAATCATTTACTGAACCGGAGAAAGTTGTCACCAAGGTCGCTCCGATCAAGGATGTAGCCACGATTAGACCTTCGATTGATGGTTCGCTTTCCAATTTTAACTTTTTCTTTATGTATAACACAACCCCTAAATCATAAAAACAATAACGATTGTTTGTTAAATTTTACATTTTTTAGAAGAATTTTGAGATTTGGGGCAATGGATCGATGAAGCTTCTAGTTTTGGGGGTTTTTGTTGTTTGGTGGGTTTTTCATATGTTCATCTAGAAAATCCAGATTTATAGGACCCAACGATCAATCCTTGAGCTTCAATTTTTTACTTTTTTTTCAAATGAGGCTTCAAGGTGCCTACTTTTTGGGTTAGAGCATCAGTATATGGTTTAAAGATTAGTATATTTTCATCAATTTTTTTTGGGTATGCTTTTCTTGGTTTTGAATTTTGGATTCCCCACTAAAGATAGTTCATGGTTTCACTTGTATGTATAACTCAAACAAGATGGAGGTGACTATTTGCATTCTTGCAATCTGGATTCAAGATTTCCGAATGTGAAATAGTTGTTGATTTCACACCCAGATTCGTGAGAAAAAACCTTTAATCCTAAACGCAAGGTCTGTTCATCTTCATCAAGTATTCTAGGTTTTTTGAACTAGATTTGGTTTTAGGTTTGGTTATGTGGTTGAAAGTTGAGGATGGTGGAAGGTGGTGTACGGTGGGTGGTGGGTGGTGGTGGACGGTGAAAGGTGGTGTACGATGGTGTTGGAAAGTTAAGGATGACCAAGGCTGCAAAAGTGGAGCTTACTCAGCTACCACTGCAGCAGTGACCATGTATCCACCTCACAACGTTTTATCTCACTTGGCATCGAAACCTTTTATAAAGGGTCAAGGGATGATTTTAATCGGTCACATTCTACTTCATTCCTTTAAAGTACAAAAAAAAAATTAGTGACCTTCTAAAACAAACATGAAATGTTCGTTGAACTAATATGACATTTTCTCCTTCCAATAACTACTCACGGGAGAACATCATCGAATGTTTTGTTATGCTATTTAACGACCTCGAAATGTTTTCTTGTGTAAAGGACCAATTCTCTCGTTTTCTGGAAAGGTTCTGATCTGGATTATGGGATATTATATTAGTTTATTGGCTTGATTTTTGTGTTTGTTTGGTTTATGATATGTGACCCTCTTATCCAAGCTTCACAAAGGAGTAGTACATTGTGATGCAAATTGTTAATTAAAAGCAGGTATGTTGTATTCTAGCAACATGGGCATGTATGCTCTATGAAGATTTGTGACCTGATATATATCAACTACCATTAAGTCATAAGTTATATATATATATATATATATATATATATATATATATATATATATATATATTAACTACCATTAAGTGTCATAAGTTAAAGAAAACCTTTGATTTGGAGTAGTTAAGACTTAAGAATCATAATTAGCCATCGTTATTAAAAGAAATTTGAAGTTAAAGAGGTGTGGGAGTTTCAAATGCATATGGTGCAAGTAAAAATGCCTCTTTTATAAGTATACTATACGAATTCTCACGCGTTGCGCAGCGCAGATTAAAAATATATTGTTAAAATATTGAAAAATATATGTTTAAAATGATTATGTTATTGACATTAACTTTGAGATAATATTTTTACACTAATATATATATATATATATATATATATATATACACACACACACACACACACACACCATATATATATATATATATATATATATATATATATATATATATATATAACTCAATTATTTTGAACAATAATATTCATTGACATCAACCCACCTTCCTCATTAATAGAATTAAATATAATTATCTATTTATTATTATTTTTAACAATTATTATGATTGATTAATTATATTTTTGTTTATGCGATCATTTTCTAATTTCAATAATGATGTTTATTTAAAATACAATTTATTTGTAGCTAAATGTAATTTATAATTTGATGTTATTATCATCTAAAATTATTATATATTAATTTTAAACCACTTATAATTAATAATAAGTTAAAGAAGACTTTTAAGAAACACTTAATATTATTTTTAAAATGTGAAACATACACTAAATAATAAAGTGATAAGATAGACAATTTGCATTTCAAAAGAGACTTGCATGGATAATATGACATATCCATGATTTTTATAATTTGATTTTATTATTTATAATTATTGGTCATTAATTTTAAAACCACTTATTATTATTAATAAGTGAAAGAAACTTTTAAAATGCACTTATTATTATGATTAAAATGTTAAACATATACTAAAATATAAAGTGATAAGATAGACAATTTGCATTTTAAAAGAGACTTACATGGATAATATGGATAATATGACATATCCATGATTTTTAATTAATTATTGTTTTAAAGCAACACGAACATACAAACATGTATACAATAATTAATTAAATATTATATATATATATATATATATATATATATATATATATATATATATATATATATATATATATATCAGTTTCCATAACATATGATTGATAACATGAATCTAATATAATTTACATTAAAATTTCAACCACAACATACAATGATATTCTTAAAAGAATACTTAAACCAAAAAAAATATAAAAAAGAATTAGTGTATAACAAACTTACAAATTAAAAACTTCAACATAATAACATGGCTCGAAAAATGGTTCAAAGCCCTCAAACCAACACAAAAACCTTTAAACTTGTTTTCTTTATGAATTTTGTATGTGATTTGTATTTGTGTGTCTACTCAAAGAGATTGGCCTTTTTATAGTAGACTATCCATTAACTGTTTATTATATATATTATATAAGTTATAAAACCTTTGAATTGTTAATCATTATTAAGAGACTTTTGAATGGTATTCATTAAAATAGGAGGTTTCAAATGCATGAGGTGTTTGCAAATTTTTGTGGGGGTTTCAAATGCATGAGGTTCAAAGAAAAATGCCTCATTTATAAGTATAGTATGATATAAATATAGATATAGATATAGATAAATAATTTTAGATTGTGAAAACTATAGTCATTTCCTTAACATGTGATGTTTTGACCATTCTCATAGAAATGTCAATTCCTATTTAGTCATTACGGTGCATTGGTTTCATCCACAAATTTGGCTAACAATGAAACCACCTATTACATGGCATTATACTTTTTAAATTATATTTTTTTTAAAATTTCACCTGATAACACTTTAAATAATACTAGCACCATCAATCGACTTATACTACGCGCAAAACATAAATGTTGCCACAAATCCTACTATAAATGTTGGCAACGTAGGAACCTTATTTTCAAACGTTGCCACAAATTCATATATAACCCAAATCGAACCAAAGATTTGTCGAAAATCAAATATCCATTTTCAATGAAACTCTTCAAAAGTTATTTTACCATTATGCAACTAGATATGGTAAACTAAGTAATTTGGTAGTTGATCATATGAGGAGGGACACTAAACAAAGTAATTTGGTAGTTAATCATATGAGGAGGGACACGATCTAGAAGTGACCACCATGCACATTACCAACTTTATAATACATTAATGGAGGATGCTAGATATGGCAACAAACTTCAAGGGTAGCGTATAGGAAAGTTAGTGAAAATGACACTGTAGCACATGAAAGTTTTAGTATTTGTCTAATTTGGTCACTAAAGTTTTTTTTGGTACATTATACCACTAAACTCGTATATGACCTGTTAAATTAGTCATTTTCCCCGCTTTTAAACGGTTTCCCGGTTGACATTTTATATGTGTCAATTAATATTAATTTTTTGGCTAATTTGATGACACGTGAGATATGCCACGCCAATGAATGATATACAATGCTTAAAACCTATCATCTCCAGTTGTCGAACTTCATTCTTCATTTTTCACTGTAAACGAAACTGAGCTAGGGTTTCTGAAGCATTTTTGACCGAGCTGAAGTACCAAAGAAGTCGCAACAATGGCACAATCGGAATCTAATAGACTGTTTGCGATGGTGGAACTCAACTACCAAGGGGTATTTACTCGTAATCCTTTCTTTTACACTGGTGGTGTGAAAACCATGTTCAATGATGTCGACTTTTCTTCTATGACTTATTCTGAGTGTGTGACCTTCTTCGAATGTTTCATGCATGAAGATTGTAAGAAGTTATACTAATGTGAACCAGGCATTTCCCTGATGGAAGGGCTTAATCCTATTTCAGATGATGTGGAATATGCTGCTTTTATTTTTGATGCTTATGGAACAAATGGTATAATTTCTGTTTATGTGGATCATATTGGGGTTGGTGTTGATGGGTGGTTTGATGATGAAGATAATGATGATGATGCATGTGAGTCTTGTATTGATGGTGAAAATGAAGATAACATAGATGAACTTAGGAATGTTGAGTTTGAAATTAATGAGGATGTAGTGCATATGAATAGGACATCAAATGATCCTTTCTTGAGTAAGTTATGTGTTGATGAGGAAGAGGATAACAACATTGTAGATGATAATGATGGGAGAGAATTTGAACCTAACATCCAAACTCATTCCATATTTAATGAGCTATTACACTGGAAAAAACAAAAACCAATTCTAGGAATGAGATTTAAGGGTCCAGGGCAAGTAAAATCAATGTTGTGCAACTATGTTGTGGCTAATAGATATCAACTATGTTTGCACATTTATACTATGGGCTTCTTAGATGAGTGATGAAGAGAGTTTCCAAATCAAGTCACAAAAAGCCGATCATAATTGTGCTAGGAACTTTAAGTTTGGATCACTGGTGACATATGCATTGATTGGGAGTCACTATACCAAAGAGATTGTACAAAGTTAGAAATTGAGTGTAAGGAAGCTTAGGGTAAAGGTAATGACCAAGTTTGGTATCCAAGTTAGTATGGGCCAATATAAGAGAGAAAAGAAGTATGCAATGAATCTTATTGAAGGTAGTCTTGTTGAAAATTATGGTAAGCTATGGTCATATGGTCATGAGATTTTGAGGACCAATCATGGGTCAACTGTGAAACTAGATGTGGAGGATGCTGTAGATGGAAAGAAATATTTTAGCAAGTTCTATGTTTGTTTTCAAGGAGTTAAACAAGGTTGGATGGAAGGGTGTAGAAGGATAATAGGTCTTGATGGATGTTTTTTGAAAGGTGTTTGTAAGGGGGGAATTGCTTTGTGAAAATGGGAGGGATGAAAATGACAAGATATATCCTATTTCTTGGGTAATGGTTAGTGTGGAGAACAAGTAGAATTGGAAGTGGTTTTGGAGCTTCTCATTGATGATCTAAACTTGAATTTAGGCAACGAATTTAGTTTAATGTCAGACCTACAGAAGGTTAGTATTTTACATAGTAATTCATGTATATTTATTTTAGACAATTTGATTTAAACATTCTTATTAATACATGGTTTGATAGAGGTTGTTAAAGAGTTGCTTCTATATGTAGAGCACAGGCAGTATGCTAGACATATTTTCCAAAATTTACAGAAGAGATTCACTGGTGTCATATATCATACCTTGTTTTGGAGAGAATCTAAAGCTACAACTGAGCCTACTTCTAAAGTTGTGATGAAGGAAATTGAGACAATGAACCCAAATGCCCATCAATATCTCATGGAGAAAGCTCCAAAAACCTGGTCAAGAGCTTTCTTTCAACCTGGCAGGTGTTGTGATGCAGTTGAAAATGGCTTCTATGAAAGTTTTAATGTTGTAATAATAAATGCCAGGAAGAAGCCCATAATCACCATGTTAGAGGAGTTAAGATTGTACATGATAGACAGATTGTACAACATGAAATTAAAGGGACAATGATGGGGAAATCATATTTGTCCAGAGATAAGGGATAAGGTGAATTTGCTTAGAAAAATTCAGAGGCATTATCAGGTACTACCTAGTGGATTAAACCAGTTTGAGGTAAGGGGAGCAACAAATGCATATGAGGTGGACTTAGAAAGGAAAGCATGTTCATGTAGGTTGTGGCAATTGAATGGATATGGATGTGCTTATTTTGTAGCTAGCATATCATATCTTAATAGGGATGTAGAAGCCTATGTAGACAACATGTATAGCATCACTACATTTAGGAAGGCATACAGTTACAAAATTGCCCCCATGAATGCCAGTGACATGTGGTCAGAGACAAATTATACTCCACCATTGCCTCGTATTAGTAGAAGGATGCCTGGTAGGCTAGCTACTAACATGAAGAAATCCACTATAGAGAATAAAGAAAAACACAAGGTTTCTAAGGCTGGAAAGAAAATCAGATGTAGTATATGCAAGGAGATAGGTCACAACAAGTCCACTTGTCCAGAGAGAAGACCCTAAAAGTTAAATGTGAAGAAACAGAAGAAACAAAAAGTTTGTGTAAAGCAGAATGCAGGACAGGTAAAACCATTTCAAATTTAAATTTATTTACATATGATTTGCCACAAACATTATTATATTATGCAATGTATGGTAGTAGAAGTGAACCTCAACAACATGAAGAGGTTGAAATGACTCCAATTGAGATGGATATTACTCAAAATGATATGCAAGCTACTCCTAATGATGTTGAATCCAGTAGTGCAAAGGATTTTATTCAGTATATGTAAGTTACTCCACCTAGAAGTTATGAAGGTGAGTAGGGTGTTGTGGGTGAGGAGGCTGTTGAGGCTGAGGAGGGTATTGTGGGTGAGGAGGTTGTTGGTGCTAATGTTCAGGTTGATGAGGTTATTCCTAATGTCCAAGTTGTTGCTAATGTTCAAATTTAGGAGGTTGTTCCTATTGTCCAGGTTCAGCAGGGTAGAGTTAGGCCAATTTTAGAGATTTTGAAGAGGATAAGGAGAAGAAAGTCAAAGAGAATCTTGAAGCTGAAATTAGGCAAGACAATTGGTGGTGTTGATGATCCAGGAAATTCTAAGGGAAAAGCTCTTCTAATTGATTAGTGAATTTGTCTTTTTGTTATTTGGATTTAATATATGTGTACTAAGATGATGGTAATTTTCATTTGAGTTTAATGTGTGTGTATCTGGATTATTGTTTGAATTTAATGTAATTGTCTTTGTTATGTGTAACAACCAGAAAATTTAGGTCAAACAAAGGCAACAAGCCAACTCAACCAACTCAGCTTGTACTAATACATCGAGGTTTAAAACTATGTTTTCATGATATATGTCTTGCAATTATAATACAAAGCATATATATATATATATATATATATATATATATATATATATATATATATATCCCAAATCTCTCTATGTATTTCAAATCTCTCCCAAATCTCTTCATGTATCTCAAATCTCTCCCAAATCTCTCTATGTATCTCAAATCTCTCCCAAATCTCTCTATGTATCTCCCTCAGTCGAAACCAACTCAAAACGAAAGGAGAAAACTCGAAAGAACAAGCCCATTCCAGAATACACTATTCATTCTCGGAGCCTCTCTTCTTAGTTCGGAACCCTCCTGGCCCGAAACACTTCTCACCACGGAACCTCCTGATCTCGGAACCTTCTGACTCCAGAACTTCTAAGTGACTCCGGAAACCCCCCTCTTACTATTCCGGAGCCTCTGACTTCGGACCTTCTAAAGGGACCGGGCAATCTCGTAATTTCGGACCGGAAGCCTTCGCTGCCTCGGAACCCTCGCAGCCTCGGAAGGAAACGACTCCGGATATGAGTTGACTTCGCAACACTCACTACTAGAAAAACAGCCTTTTACGACACGCAATGCGTGTCGTAAAACGCTCAGACGACGCGCAAATGCGTGTCAAGGAAGGCCCTGTCATAACGAGAGACGACATGCTTTTGCGCGTCGTCTATTTACGACGCGCATTTACGACGCGCAGTTACGACACACATTTACGACGCTCATTTACGACACATAATGCGTATCAAGGAAAGCCATGTCATAAAGGAAGACGACACGCATTTGCGTGTCGTAACCTTACGACACGCATTTACGACTCGCATTGCGTATCATTAAATCCCGTGTCATAAAGAAAGACGACACACATTTTTGCGTGTCATAATTTTAAATGTTTTAAAAATTATATATTTTGATAGATTTAGTCTTTTCAAATTAAATATCACATTAGAAGTCTCATATTACAAAATAAAATACAATAAATAAGAAAGATAATTCATTGCACTAATATGTCAAATACAAATAATCATTACAATAGTAAGTAAATGAAATACATTGCTAATATTGCTTAATATTTATTATAGAAAAACAAAACATGTACATTAAAAGGAACCCGTGAGTAATTTCTTCTTTGACAATCTCCATGGAGCTTTAAGCCTTGCAACCTCACGACTTGAAGATGCATCAACCAGTGTCAACTCTTCTTCTACAAGCTTGTACCTAACACATTCCACATATTCATGCCCAGAATCAGCTACTTGAAAATTGTTCAATCAACCACCAAAAATTTATAACCAACTTCACAAGTCATAAATACTAAATTACAAATGTTGCTCATTATCAACAAATGTAGTAGATGTATTTTTCCTAAAATAAATTGTAAGGGAGTCAAGTTATGATTTACCTTTGGTTTCTTCCTATATAGAAATACACTTAGCCAATCAGTTAAAGCAGATGTTGACATTAGAAATACCTTGAGAAGTAAAAGTGCCTACATAATCAAAGCAAATGGTGTCATGCAAAGTGTTTAAATTAAATTAATTGGCCAAATCTAGCTTAATTACCTCTTGTTCACCAGCGCAGAGGTCAAGAAACTCCATATCAGCAATAGGGACACCAGGTGCATTGAAGTTTGAAATTGTAGCTATTTATGAGAAGCTGTTACTTTCAGATCATTAAAAACTATGAATGTTGATTGTTCTTTAAGGAATCAACCTGGGATTATGTAAATATTACCAAAAGATGAGATCACCATATACAAGCAACTTGAATGGCGTGACTTCCTAGATCTTTTTATTTTTCCATTAACTTATCAAAGAATTCGTTGATGAAGTTGGATATATCCATTGTATAACCTGTATACCAACCCGCCTATATTTTTTTTACATAATTAATTATAAATCTACCCACTCACCCCCTTTAAAAACTTTCAATCATTCACTCTTCATCTTCTTCAGAGTCATCTGTGCCAATGTCCTGATAAAAATATTATATTAAATAATGTCAGTGAAATAAAATAAAATAAAATAAAATAAAAGGGTTGTTATAATTGTTTACCTCTTCATCATCCTCATCACCAAAGTCCTCTTCATCAGCATCCTTTAAAAAAAGAATTTTCAAAAACAAAATCAGTAACACAATAATGAAGGAATATTCTCATATAACAGGTGGATTTTAGAAAAAAAAAAGAAAAAGAAAAGGTTTTAAGAAAGGTTTTATTCAAGCAAACAATAAAAAGAGGCTTGTTTTTTATGATTAATTAAAAGAATATATAATCTGAACATACTCCATCTTGAATTTCGTCCATGTCATCTTCACATTGGGTCCCACTGAACCAGCTAAAGAAGCTGCTGCATCAAACCAATCAAGAAACAAAATATAGACCTTTTAGTTTATGTTTCTTGTTTACTTAACAAAAACAAGACTTAATCTGGAAAGCTTATATATTTATATCTGAGTGTTTCTATATTTTAACTTAATACAAAAAGAATGTTTTGATGACCTGTCTTCCTCGTGGGGCCGCTTATTTCCATTCTTCTCATGTGTAACTCCATTTGGATGTCCCTTCAAAAAAGAAAATAATGCACAATATTAGATTGCTACAGAAAGACATATTGATAAATATAAAAAGTTTCCAAGAATATGATTCAAGTATTCCTGCATTACTGTCTTTGCTCTATCTAACATGGAATGTTGTCTTCCGAGAGTTGGGCATATCATTGGCAGGGCTTCACCATAACATACAGGTGAAGCTCCGGTTAAAAAGGGAAGGGTGCACACTTGTCGGGCCTGTCCCATGAATGACCCGATCCTTGGTCCTCTGTTTGTACAACAAGATTTCTTTCCTTTTCTCTGCTTCCCTCCTTTTCATTTTCTTTTATCTTCGTCATTTATGTTCACCGAACAATTTCTTGATCTTCTTCTTGTTGTTATCCATGCATCAATCAATGCCTTACCAAAGCGGTTAAGTTTTTTTCCTATCTCTCGAATTCAACAAAATAATAAAACAAATAGTTATACCTTGAGATTTTGATCTTTAAACAAATTCTTAAATGCAGCTTCTGTGTTGGGAAGGTCACCATCTGGATTGAGCAAATAGTAGGCATCTAATGGATCTTTCAAATGAGAACTAGTCAATTGACTTTATCTTTTGGCCAAAAAGTTGGTTTCAACAAGTAAGTACAAGTAACAACAAAATTTAAAAAAAAAAAGCATTTATGACTTCTCTTAGTAGCAATTTATCAGCAACTGGGAAGTCCGGTATTATATCCACTGGAACCTGAAAAATACAAATCAAAATAAAATAAGGAGTAAATATAAGGGATAATTAAAGTTATATATTACTAAATAATAGTAAATACATGTAAGTAATTTACCTGAACCATTTCTAGTTTTTTCAAAGCAAGTTTTAAAGGCTGTGTCATGACACAATATTTTGTAAGAAGTTGTCGCGCATCATATTTGTCCCCTTTTCCGTGTGTTGTTAGTATAACCCTACTTAACCCCTCAACTACATCTTCAATCTATCATTTATCAAACCAGTAAAACAAATGATAATTATCATCCCAATAGGAACTTGATCTATAAGTTATAAATGATAAAACAACCACACTACCTTATCAAAGTCAACAAACAAATGTTTCATCAGGATGTAAAACAAATGCCCCTTTCTCAAATAACCAGTTGAATTGTAGTGCTTGACCTTTTCTGATAACAAATTTTCAAAATAATAATTAAAAAAACATTTTTAATCAGATTAATATATAAATATATCGAGTGGAGTACCCATGAGCTTCCTCTAACCCGAAACGTACAGACCGGAAGCAACCTGCAAGGTAAGACACGTACATTGACTTGACTAGGCTCTTTGGAAGCTCATCCTGGTCAACCAACCCAAAAATATGGTCAACTTTTCGTTATCTTCAAATTTACTTTACACAAATTAATATTTTAATTAAAAAATATATATCAAGATACCACTGACCTTATCTATAAGAAATTTTAGGGCCCACAGACCAACAATGTCCGCTTTAGCTTCTTCCAAAGCTGAATGTAGTTCTTGTAGCTCGTGTTTGTCGATTCATATAAAGCGATTATAATTTTATAAAGATTATTAAATTTGAAATGAAAAAAAAAACCACCAATCTCACAGTTGACTTTTGACCATCTGGAAGTGTTATTGTATGTGGTCCTATCCCATGACAACACTCATGGCAAATTGTGTGAGTGAAAAAAGAGTCAAAGTCAACAAGTTCCCGTTGTTCCTTTATAATGCATACACCAGCTATAGGCTGCAGAATAAGCTTAAACCTATTTTCAAAATAAATAAATAATTTTTAAGATTATATGTAATGTAGGTAGTAGAAAAAAAAAGTAAAAAAAAAATGCAGCTTCTGTGCTGGGAAGACTGCACAAGAATCTTTTTCCTTTTCCTGAAATTTGCAACGTCTTTCAAATGTGGAAGATATACTGGCAACAGAAGGCATGCAGTAGACCTCATGCTTTCTTAGAACAGGCAGGTTTTCCCATGGTAGTATCTGAAAAAAAAAACAAAACAACCTCATTATTATTATTATATATGAACTATGAAGATGAAAATAAAAAGAAACCAAGAGATATTCTATACCTACCTGGATGTCAAAGTCCAGAACCAATATAACAGGTCCTCTATCTACTACAACATTTGCCATTTCCTCCTCAATTTCATGGATTGCATTTAATATCAGCTTGGATAGATTGTCGCTTTTGTTTTTTCCTTGCTTGCTAGAATTATATGCCATACAACTTCCATCTTCATCAA